GATTAGTATGAAAAATGTATTATTGGCTTAGCATGGCATGCACACTATTTCTATATTTATTTAATAAATTAATTCCCAAAATATAACTTGGATTAACTCATGACCAACATTATATGTTATATTGGGCTTTACATGTCTTTAGACTTCTCATGACTTTTTGGGCCTCAACACACGTCGATAAGTTATACCACGTGGCCATATTACTGTACTACACAATAATTACTCGTTATTAGGGTTTAAACCTGAGACCACTAGTATGCAAGTTCAAGTTATTTTTCATTAGGTTAGACCTCATTGGATTTCTATTACCCTATATCATTTTAGGGGCAAGCTAGGGACCTTACATTTTATATGTCACTTTGAGTACCACCTCTCTAAGAGCAGTTCCAGCAGTTGCCCCTTGCCATGCTAGGGCAGCCACTATTCACATGAATATTGGCTGCCCTTGCAAAAAGCAATGTTGGTTTCCAACAGTTGCCATGGCAAAGGGCAAACACTATTCATTTTTTTGTTTTTTTCACAAATTTGTTTACCTAAATAATTAATTTGGGCAATATTTTCGGATAAGATTTTTGGGTTCCTACGTGTCAATACTATTCATATCTCATAATCGGATAAAATTTTCGGATAAGATTTTCAGTTTCAAATTTTAGATAAATTTCAAAATTCAAAATTAAGATAAATTTCAAATTTCAAATTTCAATGAAATTTCATTTGAATTTCAAATTTAAGATAAATTTCATCTAAATTTCAAATTTCATCTAAATTTCAAATTTCATATAAGATTTTCACGCTCTAAAATTGCGCCACATGTCATCTTTATCGGCCAAAATTTTTCTATAAAACCAGAGCCTCAGGTCATACCTCTCACACCATATCTTCTCTTTATTTTCATTTCTCAGATTTTAGAATTCATACTCTATTCTCAATGGCAGACATGAACGAGGTCTTGGAGAGGCAAATGCGAGAATTTAGAGAAAGAAGGCGTAGACAAGCTACAGGCAAAAGGGCGCAGACAGAACTGGATATGCAAATTGTCACAGCAGTGACTATGCTTGATGAAGAAAACCATAGCCGTCGTGGTTCACGAGATGGTTGTGGCCCGAATGTGGACAGACATAGACATTCTCGGGGTAAGAATATTCTAGAAGATTATTTTATCCCAACTTCTCTGTATTCTGATGTTGATTTTTGAAGGAGATATAGAATGCAACCCCATTTGTTCAATAAAGTCATGCATGATATTTGCAATTATGATGAATATTTTGTTCAAAAGAGAAATGCTGCTGGAAATTTGGGGCTGCTTCCTGAGCAAAAGTTCACAGCTGTTATACGAATGTTGGCGTATGGGTCATCTACTAATCAGGTGGATGAGATTGCCCGGATGGGGAAGTCCACTGCTTTGGAGAGCTTAGTGAGATTTTGTAATGCAGTTGAAACTCTGTACACTAGGGACTACTTGCGCACACCTACGCTAGGGACCTCCAACGGCTTCTACAAAAAGCCGAAGCTCGAGGATTTCCAGGAATGGTTGGTAGCATCAACTGCATGCACTGGCAGTGGAAGAATTGCCCAACTGCTTGGCAAGGAGATTTTGGGAATCGGAAAGGCCAAAAAAGCATCATCCTTGAAGCCGTTGCAAGTTTTGATATGTGGGTTTGACATGCTTTCTTCGGAGTTGCCGGATCTCAAAATGACTTGAACGTCCTGGGTCAATCCCCGGTGTTCAATGATGTTTTGAGAGGTGAAGCCCCAAATATCACCTATCAAATCAACAATACCGTCTACCAAAATGGGTATTATTTAGCTGACAGCATCTACCCGAGGTGGACTACATTTGTGAAATCAATTCTGCATCCCCAATCCCAGAAGCAAAAATTATTTGCTACCTATCAAGAGGGGTACAGAAAAGATGTGGAGAGGTGCTTTGGTATCCTCCAAGCCCGATGGGCTATTATTAGGGGTGCGACACATCTGTTTGATGAGGAGGTGCTGAGGAGCGTAATGATGACATGTATCATCCTCCATAACATGATTGTGGAGGATGAGTATGATAACAATTCTGAAGACGTGTACGAACCGAATCCAATGAACACGACCTTGACACAAATTTATGAAAAACCCATGGGGCCAAATGGAGAACCAGTGCAGCATGAACCGTTGGTTAGGGACAGTCGTGTAATGACCTGTATAATTGATCGATATACGGAGATGCAATCGTCTTATATTCATGAATGACGTCAAGTTGACTTGATGGAGCATTTATGGGCAGTGAAAGGTAATGACGGTGAATGAAGTGAAGTGAAGAAGTTTGTTTTATTTATTATGTTTATGTTTTATTTTTTGTTATGCTTTCTTTGTTTAATGCTTTGGTTGTGGTTTGTTTATTTTTAATGCTTTGGATGTGGTTTGTTTTTTTATGTAATAAAAAGGTATTTTATTGAATGCTTGAATTACAACTAATTTTCAAAATAAAACATTAAAATACAATGAAAATAAAAGGCAAGCAAACTAACTTAATGGTTTTGATCATTTAACCAATCCGTGTTGCTAGGTCCATCGTCACGAAAAAGTCTTCGTCTCATAACATCCATTTGTTCTAGCTTCCAAAATTGTTTTGTTTCAGGGGACATATGGCTTGTATCCATGGCCATGGTTTCCTGATCCTGCTTCTCAATGTTTTCCTTGCGTACATACTCCCTTTCTTTTACACATTCCACTTGAAATATCCTCTCATCTTCTTGGTTTCTCTTCTCTATTTCAAGTCTCATGGTGCCTTGCCTTGCAATTTCCTCCAAAAATTTAGATGAATTACTAGTAGAATTACTCACTCTCTTCGCCTTCGCCGCCTTTCTCCCAATAGGCCTCGACTCCTTTTGGATGGTTGAGTCTTCGCTCATCGGGGAATCGAGAGGCGAATCCGATGTCGTTGAATTATGGAGTGGCGTCTCGTTCAACACAACGGTCGGACCCATGGGAATAATTCTGAAACATTTGCAATTTGTTACTACCTCCCAACATTCTTGATGGTTAAAAGAGTTTTTGCCTTGCCCAGTAGAACCAAACCACATTTGTGCTTGCATAATCTATTTACAAAAAAAAAAAATTGGATATACAAGAAACATTAAAAAATATTGGCAATGCAAGAAATATTAACAAAATATTTGGTATTTATTAAATATTAGCAAAATATTGAAAATGCAAGAAACATTTATAAAAAAAAAAAATGCAAGAAACATTTATAAAAAAATTAATAGGACATTAAAAATAATAAAACAAAAAATACAAATAATTTACCTCATTGCTAAGATTTTCCCCACTTCTACAGTTGTCCATTGCTTTTGTCAAGGCATCTCTCCATTTCCCCAACTCTTTATTGAGAATTTTCCACCTACTAAACAATGTCATTTCCGTATGGTTCGAACTCAATCTTCCACAAAATTTGGAATGAATTTTTTTCCACATATGACAGAATTTTATCTCATTGTCAGAGACGGGACAATGAGAAATTTGGACTCAATACTCACACAACAAAACATCTTCCATGGTGCTCCATGCCCCAACACCGTCGATAGAAGAAGCCATAAAGATGATATGGAAAAATAAAACTTGAAAATGAATAAATTGTTGAGTAAAAAGTGAATAATAGTAGAAGTAGAAGAAAATGTATGAGGATTTGGTGTTGAAAGTGAAGAGTATTGGTAGGTATTTATAGAAAAAAAAATTCTAGTATTTTTTTGGTATTTTTTAGAATTTTTTTTCATATTTTTATTGCAAAAATATTGGCTGTCGTTGGATTGGAGAGAAAATCACGATCGGAGCGCCCAGATGACGACACGTGGCCCAGAGCCGTTGGCGCAATCCAAGGTTGACGTCAGCGCGTTGGATCTGGGGTTGGACCTACCCTTGGGCCAGCCCATCTTCGTGGCCCCCACATGCAACCCGGGCTAGCCTCAGCTGCTGGAGTCCGTTTTTCGCCCAAAACCCCCCCAGCCCGAGTCCAAAACGAGCTGTTGGAACTACTCTAATAGAGGTGGATCCTACCTCTATTAGAGAGGTGAGGTGATACACAAGATGATATATAAAAAGAAAAGGTATTAGTGACAAAAATCTTTACCAATAAGGATATCATAAATAAGGTACTTTGGTTTTGAGCTCAGTAAATGGGTTTAGAATTTCCTGTTGTAATAGGTCAATGGGAGTATCTAGAAAAAAAGAAAAAAAAAACACTAAAAATCTCAACAACTAGCTGTTAGGCAATTGTCATTGAAGGCGCCACGTGGCAGATCCTCATAGGCCATTGCATTTGAAAAAGCAGCTTTTGATGTGCCCCTTTTTTCAAAAGCTAATTGTGGGGCCCACTCTTGCCTAGGCCAGCACTTTGGCAAAACCAACCCCTTATCTTGTCTTAGGCCAAACTGGACTAGGCCAAACACATGCGTTAGAAAGTGTTTTTTTTTTCATTTGAGGCCAGATAAGTCTCATTAGACATGCTCTTATGCTCCAATCGGTGGGCAATTTTTTTTTTGGTTGGAATAGATGCTTTATTAAAAATAATAAGTATCATAAGAGTATACAAAAAATAGCATTGAAAACAACAAATACTATCCAAAACCCAAACATGATAGACAAGAACAAATACATGATCTTTAAAAAAGACTCGCGCCTGAACAACTCAATGGGAAACAAGAAAAGAGATAGAAAGAAGAGGAAGCTTGAACATCCCTTCAATCTGGTGGGCATTAAGTTAATAGAAATTTGCCTTTTGGGTATTGTGTTTAATTTATAAAATTAAAATAATTAATTTTTTGTATCTAGTTTAAAATTTAAAAAACTTTAATTATTGGGAGTTTATCTATATATATAAAGCAAAAGGCCGCGAATGGTGAAATATTTAAAAACCCCGAATATGCCCTTTGTTAAACAAAAAATTAAAAACATACAATTTTCTTTAAAAGAGGGTGAAATAGTAAAACACTACTGATTTTGAAAAAAAAGAAAAATGGAGTCGTGCTGTGCTATGCTGTGCCAAAGAAGAATAGCTGAAGAACGTGGAGAAAAATTCCTCAGGTTCAGAACCCACGAAGCTGGCGGTTTCCACAATTTCAGAACCCATCACCACCATGTTACTTATATTTTCTTCCTCCACTTGACTGGCTCCCTTTTCTGCTTCAGAAATCCAAATCGAGAGTAACCAACTAGAAACACCCAGTGTAAAGACTGGTCAGACCCAAAAACCCTGCTTTCTCATCCCGCACCACACCTGCTACCCTGTAACTGAAGGTAAAACATCAGTTTTTTTGTATTAATGAATGTATATTGCAGATATTTCATTCAAGTTGTGGGTTGCATCAAATTTTGTATGTTTCAGGAGAGGTTATACACCATCCACCATTAGAGAAAGCACCAGCAAGCCCAAGGCTTATAATTCATGGCCGCCAACTCTTGAAGCAGTGAGTTCCAAATCTTCTGCTTCTTTAAATATTGTGGGTTTGCATTAGGATTTCAGTTACTTGATGTGGATTTCCCTGTTCTATTTTCTTCTAAATTATTTTTAATTCTTGATGTGGGTTTCTATTACAGAAGCTGTTCTCAACCGCGTCTGTTCTTCTTGCGGGGAACCATGCTGATCCGAAATCGTTAGTCCCTACTCCTTCTCTCTTGAAATTCAATTGTTTTTGTCTTTACTCTGAATTTGCTCATATGATAACATAATGTAGAAAATAGATCTATAAAGTTGGGACAAAGTAAAATTGAAACCTCCACCATCGACAATTGAATATTGGGAGGTGTTGCACTCAGATTTGGTTTTTTTCTTAACATAAAAATATGATAACATAATGTGGAAAATTGATCTAGAAAGTTGGGACAAAGTAAAATTAGGTGAACACAACCCCCAATATTCAGTAATAAAATCGAATGTTCTCAGCTGATGCCTCTCTTTCTCATTGTATTGCTGGCTTTGCTTTACCTTTGTGATGGTTGAATGAATTCATCTTTACCAGCAATGTTTTATAGTTGGGATTCATCCTCTGTCATATTGAAAATTTTGGTCTCCTTATTGGATTTTCTTTTCTGGGTTGTTGATTCAAATTCAGTTGTTTTTGTCTGGGTTGTTGATTCATATTGAAAATTTTGGTCTCTTGAAATTCGATTGTTTTTGTCTTTACTCTGAATTTGCTCATCTGGGTCAGTAGGATTTCAGTTTAATTTTCATATACATTAGTTGGAATTCAGCATCTTTGTTTCTTAGTAAAATTTGAAACTTTTGGTTGTTCTGTTTTCCATTATTCTCAACTATACCGAATATTGAAAATTTTGGTCCCCTTGGTGGATTTTCTTTTCTGGGTTGTTGATTCAAATTCAGTTGTTTTTGTCTGGGTTGTTGATTCATATTGAAAATTTTGGTCTCTTGAAATTCAATTGTTTTTGTCTTTACTCTGAATTTGCTCATCTGGGTCAGTTGGATTTCAGTTTAATTTTCATATACATTAGTTGGAATTCAGCATCTTTGTTTCTTAGTAAAATTTGAAACTTTTGGTTGTTCTGTTTTCCATTATTCTCAACTATACCGAATATTGAAAATTTTGGTCCCCTTGGTGGATTTTCTTTTCTGGGTTGTTGATTCAAATTCAGTTGTTTTTGTCTGGATTTTTGAAGAATATTGAAAAATTTTGTCTGGGTTGTGGAGATTTTTTTTTTGCTACATCTTTCCTACCTTTTTTCCTTTGAGGTGTAAATGTCATCCTGCTCTTATGGTGTGCAGGCAGATCCATTTGAATACCATGATTCGTATTGGCGGTGTTTGACCTGACGCTTTGGGGTCTTTCCCCAATTGCAACAAGTAAAGTACGATTGCAATAGATGTGGGGCAATCTTGGGGCCATTCTTTCAAAACTCTTATTCAGAAGTTCAAGTTGGTTATTGCCCTGAATGCCAATCAAAAGGACCGTTCAGTGTCAATATTGAGCAGGTTAGTTTTACAAATTTACATACATTTGCCTTCAGTTTTCTTTTTGGCTGGAAAAATCTGAAGAGAAGAAAGGGAATCAACATTGAATGTTGTGGAGGCTGTTATGGGAACTTATAATTAATATTGCACCTCAATTATGCTAGAAAAGGTTGAAAATGGTTTTTATTTTTCTTCCAGTTTTTGTTACTCCAGTATTATGTTTTTGGCCGCCTTTATATTATTGTATGGTTTCTGAGAAAAGGGATCAAATGAAAAAAACAATTTTTAGTTTTAATTATCTGATACCATTTCTCTTTCTGTTTAGTTTTAATCCGTATAGGCAGCAGTTCCTTTCAGTTTTTTTACGCTCTCATCTTCTTCTTCTTCACTTTTCGGGGTCCAGTCATTAGTTCAAGAACTCGAAGTCCAGAGTTGCTTCAATGACTCAAGTTCCATGCTTTCTGTTTAATAATCTTCAGTCTGCAAAGTATTAATTCTTTAAATGGTACAAATCTCTCTCTCATACAAAGCTATCCCTAATTTATGTTTGATTGACTGAAACTTTGGCTAGGGTCTAGGTCTGTGTTTATGTTTGTGTTTGTGTTTGTAATTATTTGTGTTTGACTTATGAAATTAAAAATTCTTTGGAATTTTATCTCAACAGATGGAATCGCCTCTCACCTCTCTCTCTCTGACGCATAAGGGTTCCATAAGAAGCAGAGGAAACTATATTTAAGGTTAATGATTCTTCATTTCGTTATATTTTGTATTTTAAGTTTCCAATCAGCATACATTAGTTTAGTTGGAAGATGATTTTTTTCCTATTGGGTTCTCTCAAAAGTTGTCCATTATTATACAATTTCGTTTTTCCCCCAAAATTAGACTTTCTAATATTGGCTCTACTGTAACTAGGTGTTCTGTTTTCTGCTGATAATTTGGGCCTCCAAATTTGCCTAACAAAGCCATGGCTTTATTTCTCTACGTTCATGTGTTAGTGAGAATCCACGATTTCTATTTTTGTCTTTCTGGAAGACGCAGGTGACAAAGAAAAAAGAAAGCAAACAAATCACCATTTGGGATACTTTTGGGTTTTTTCTGACTGGGATTGGGTGTTGGTTTACATTTGTTATTTGTTTACACTATCACTATTAGTTTCTTCTTTCTTTATGTGTATTTTTTGTCAAGTGTCCAGGTCATTCTAGATCCAGATTCAGTTTCATATTGATGTAAAGTGTCCAGTTCAGGCATCAACTTCTATTTTTTATGTTACGAATAAGATTGTGCTTTGATTTTTTCTTCTTTTTTTCTCAGGGGATTATTTTTGGTATAGGAATTAAAAGCAAAATGAGGATCAGAGTTGGAGGGAGTTCAAGAGTAACATGAAAGCAGAACAAAACGGAAGCATCATGGTGAGTCAACATAAGCACCGATCATGACATCTTTGAGCAGTGAACCAAAGTCGCTCTTCTTCGTGGACAAGTCCAAAGGTACCTCATTCATACCTTCGTTTTTTTGTTTTTTGTTTCAAGTGACATAATTGCCTTGTTTCGCAGCTGATAATAACACATCCATAATGACACACTGCGATGGACTTATTCCGAAACATAAGTCTTTTTTTTTTATGGATTGTTTTAGTGTTCTTAATATCTTGCTTCATATTAAGTTTTTTAGTTGTTTTTGTCTTTTTTTTTTTTTTTTTGTAAATGCAGAATTTTGCTGCATGAGGCTTCCAAAGAAGATAGTAGCAAGAGAGCATAAAATTGCTGCAGGGGGAGGTTCATGTACAAGCAGTAGCTAAAAGGATTTCCTGATCTTAATTTAATTGTCATGAATTTTTTGTATTTTGTTTTCCTTTTTCAATGAATGCAATACTAGCTTCAATTACTATATTTTGGTGTAACGAGTTTTGTTTTAAATAAAGACTTATTCAATTGCATCTGTTCCAAATTCGGTTCAATGGTTAACTATAATAATTGTTATCAGTAAATACGAAGAGGAATTTAAATTAGTTCTTGCATTTGTTTTAAATTCTTTTTAATATGATCAACTATGATAATTGATTTATTTTTATAAAGGTTATCAATGAATACAATACAACATATGTTACCAAATTATTGAAAAAAAGAACTTTTAAGGACAATTCAAACTAAAAATTAAAAACAGGAAAAAGCGTTTTACTCAAGCTAATAAAAGGTATTTCAAATTATGGGAAAAAACAAGGAAAATTTTCAATTCCACCAAACAAATTTTTTTTTTATTTTAAGAAAAAACAAAGAGCCGCCAAGCTTGGCCGAGCCTCCTTCCCTCCACCGCACCGCTCCTCCGCCCAAACCAGCCGCCTCTCCCTCGGTGGAGGTGGCTCCAACCCCAGAAGCCGCAACTCAGGCCCCGCCACGTCAGCAGCCGCGGCTGCGCCTGCCGTGGAAGTTGAAAGGGTCTTTGAAAGACACGTACCTTAATTTCCAACAGGTGCGTTACTTTCTTCATTAAATTGAACGACCCAATGCCTTCCTCCTCTTTGCTTCACTTCTTCTGACCCAATTTCAAAGCTTCCTTTCATCGCTCTCTCTCTCTCTCTCTCTCTCTCTCTCTCTCTCTCTCTCTCTCTCTCTCTCTCTCTCTCTCTCTCTCTCTCTCTCTCTCTCTCTCTCTCTCTCTCTCTCTCTCTCTCTCTCTCTCTCTCTCTCTCTCTCTCTCTCTCTCTCTCTCTCTCTCTCTCTCTCTCTCTCTCTCTCTCTCTCTCTCTCTCTCTCTCTCTCTCTCTCTCTCTCTCTCTCTCTCTCTCTCTCTCTCTCTCTCTCTCTCTCTCTCTCTCTCTCTCTCTCTCTCTCTCTCTCTCTCTCTCTCTCTCTCTCTCTCTCTCTCTCTCTCTCTCTCTCTCTCTCTCTCTCTCTCTCTCTCTCTCTCTCTCTCTCTCTCTCTCTCTCTCTCTCTCTCTCTCTCTCTCTCTCTCTCTCTCTCTCTCTCTCTCTCTCTCTCTCTCTCTCTCTCTCTCTCTCTCTCTCTCTCTCTCTCTCTCTCTCTCTCTCTCTCTCTCTCTCTCTCTCTCTCTCTCCCTGTTTCCACATCTCTCGTTCTCCCTAACAAATGCGGTTCGTTTAATACATCGATCCAGGTCGCTAACGTGCCGCGAATTGGTACGCGCGACAGGTTCCAATCAGAAATTATGAATCCTGTGGAACTTTTGTCTAATCTCTATGCACTGAGACAGTTATATGGACTCCTTCAAAATGGGGAAGATGGCTTCGAACATATAAATTCAAACAATGTAAGGACTCTCAGAATCATCTAGTCAGGTTTTCTTGTCAGTAGAAACATGTGGGTAATGTCTTCCAGTACGCTATCAATTTTACAAATTGTTGGAACAAAACAGATCTCTTTTTTTTCAGTATGTTTAATTTAATTGTTTTTTTATTACTATTTTGAAATAGATAGAAATTACAGAGGACTAGGTGTCTGCTAATATCCAACCAATTTTGCCTCCTATGCTTTATCCACTTATTTACTCTTAACACATCCATTACCAATGTAAATAATTTAATTATTTTAAACCTTATCATTGATTTTATGGCTCGGCCACTGGGTCTAACCGAGTGGAAATGGCCTTGACTTGTAGACTAGAGGTCTCAAGTTCGAAAAACCTCCTCCTTCAATATCGCGTGTATTAAAATAAAACATTGATTTTATGGCTCTTTTCAATATAGAGTTCCACTTTTTAAGTAATGAGTTTTAGTGTATGATGCAGGCCAGGAACTTTATGTTAATTGTGGCTATCTATTTCTTTTGTTACCTAGTCGCGGAGAGATTACTTTGTATTGATTTTATTAAGTAATTTGCTTTTGGTGCCTAATATTATGTTCATGAAGGTGGGCAAAGCTTTGGATGTGAGAGCGCAACAACTATTAAAAGATCTTCTGGATGATGCTACTGACAAGATTTTGAATACTCATTCAAAGGTATCACCTCTGTAAAAATTCTGCAAAAGTAGCTCTCCTTTGTCGTCAAAACCATTAAAAATAGTACAAATACATTTTATTCGTTGATAGTCTATAAACCGTAAAATAATGTATGTATATGCGCTAAAAACTTTCAAGTTTCAAGTGTCACCTTTGGCCCTTTTCTTTTTGTTGTGATTCCTATTTCTCTTTCTGAATTTTAAAAATGCTGTGACTTAGGATTTGTAAGACGTAGGTATATTCACTCTTTCATTATCATTTCTGATTTTGGGTTTCTAATGGTGTTGGATTTGCAGATCACAGCAGCTCGATCAGGTTTTGATAGCACACCCTGCTCTTCTCAAGCAGAGCAACCCAAGGCGGTGCCTAAGCTAAATTCTGTTTCGCCAGCAACAGTAAAATCACCTCTTAATACTGTCCTGAATTATGGAAAGGATTCTAAAAGCTGCAAGATCACTTCAAAAACGGATGAGCAGTCACCTAAGAAGCCCGAGGGAGCAAGTCCAGAGTCAAAAATAATCACCTCAACAGACCTACCTGAATACAAAAGGAAACGGTGCCGGATCTGCTTAGAAAGCAATCTGAACAAACAGTACTCAGCCAAGGAGTCAAAAATCTCAAATGAGAGAGCCAAGGTACCTGGCAAAAACAGTCAGAGTCAAGATCAGCGACACGATTGGCTTAGTCATCTGAATCGTATTGATGAGCATGCTAAAGGACTACAAAAATCGAATGGCATTGGTGAAACTCTTGGTAATCCAAGCATTGATAGTTTGGCTGCTTGTTCCTCAGTCTCTCCAACAAGGGATGGCAAGCAAGAACTTGGTCTGATAAAGGAAAAGTCAGACGAGGCTAGTGATTACTCTAAAGTTGTCACAAATGCAATCAAACAAATTGAGTCCGGAATTTTGGCTTTGCAATTGTGTTCTGCTGACTTGGCGGAGTCTTTCAATAATGATGTTGATGTTTCGGTTAGTCCTACTCCTATAGTACACACAGAAGAGCAGGTAGTTACTACTAGTACTAGAAGAGATCGGCTGAGTGATAGGAGCGAGCCATTGTCTTTGTTGGGTGTAACTGAGCTACTGACTTGTCCGGCAAGTCAACTACTGTCTCAAAAGCATGAGAATCCAACTGGGAAGTTTGCTTCTAGGGGACATGAATCTTTAAAGGCCATTATGGAGAGATTTGAATCTCTGAGTCAACCAGTGAATCAGAATAATAAGATGGCAAGTTATGTTAATGGGCTAAGGGTCCCCCCAACTCCAACTCAGGATGAGGTAGCTATGAAGCCTGCAATGCAAGTGAAGACGGATCAAACATCTCAAATCAGTCTAGGGAAAAATCCAACAATGAGGAGCAAAAAGATCGCAAGATCCAAACCGTCCATGCCACCTCAGTCGAGGGGGTCCAAAGCTTCTTCAGTTGGACTTGGACCTGGCAAGAAGTTGAATCAGAAGCGCACAAGAAAAACAACGACACATTGTAATCAGATGATCATGAGGCCAGTTCTGTTAGATGAACACAAGTCTAGTGCGAGGAGAGGGAGCTACAGGATGTCTTATGTGGGCAACCAGAACAAGGTCATGCTACACAAGCAAGTATTGGAAGAGGAGACTAGCTCAAGTACCACAAAGTCCCAAACATGGTCAACCAGTGAGCAAACTGAAACTGAAAGCAGCGCCAGTAGTAATGAATATTCTAAGCAGGATTACTGGAGTCCAAGTCAGTCTTCAAGACGTACTCGTGACATTCATATGAGAAGTGGACGAAGGTCGATAAGAGTGACGACACAAGATAGTAGTTCACGAATTAGTAGCTGTTGTTCCTCCTCCTCCCCATCAGAGGGTCTCTATAGCCATAAAAGATTACAAACGGACAAGCCCGTTGGACGGTTAAGGAAGCTCAAGAACAAGTTGGGACTCATCTTTCACCACCATCATCACCACCACCACCACCATCATCATCATGGAAATGTTAATAGTTATGATGATCACGGCCATTCTATGTGGAAACACCTACGGAAGATGATGTTGCAGGGAGAAAAAGCCAAGCAGGGCAGTGATGGTCATCAAGGAAGGGTCAAAAAATCGTTGTTGAAACTGAAAACCATGTCACATAATAATAAGCAGCAGCAGCAGGGGCATTTTCATGCACTGGCGGAAGGGCTGTTGAGGCATGTTAGGCATTCAAAGAAATCAAATAAGTTGTCAAAAGGAGGTGGGAATGGACGGTTGAGACATGGCCCTCATCAATCTCATCATCTTGGCCACGGCCGCCTTAATAAGAAGAACAAGCTGCATTGGTGGCACATGTTTCGGCGACACGGTGGAGTGAAGCTGCCTAAGGCTAAAAGAGGGCGTGTTAAATTGGGATTTACTACTAAAAGACGTCCAAAGCTAAAAATGAAGTAATTAGTTAAAGCTTGTTGTAATTAACTGTAAGAGTAAATAGAAAGATATGAGTAATTGGTTATCCTTTTGTATGATATACTCCTACTCTACATATTGCACCTCATGTTTTACCTGGCACATTCATCTGCTGAGATGTTTTTCAAGGCATTCCTCAACAAGTCCGCCTCTTTGACGCCGAAGGGCGAATTTGGTATTGTTATGCTTTTAAACAAAATTGATTATCTTGTGCTGTGAGGATAATCAATTGTGAAATAAAGCAATTCAGTGTTTGATAAACTGAATTTTTGTGAGATAATAAGCCGTATAAAAAACTTTGATAAATTTTTGTGTGGAACTATTTTGACTATGTTAAATGACTAAAATAGGCATGCTAAAACTGTTTATTACTCATTTGTATTCTTTTGTACACAAAAAAAAAAACAAAAACAAAAAGCAATACTCATCAAGAATTTGAGGATTGATCTTAAAAAAAAGCAACATAGCATCTTTTAATTACTCAATTGCCCAAATTAATTAATC